TCATAGTTTGTGCGACACAGAAAGAAATAGATGTGTGTTTTGACCTGCTGAACTCACAATCGGAGCACATTAAGTTGACTCGGGAAAAACCGACCGGAAACTGGCTTCCATTCCTAAATGTTCAAGTGAGGTTACACGGCGATGCGATTATTACGAAGTGGTACAGAAAGCCCAGCAATAAAAATATCATTGTCCATTATCACTCAGCTCATCCTTTTTACATAAAGCGAGCGGTTGTTAGGAATATGTTCCGCACCGCTAAGAAGGTTTGCACTGGGGAGGATGAGCGAAAAGAGTCGATTAAAATGGCATGCGATATTGCTGAAATGAATGGCTACCGCAATTTTCCAACCACAAGAAGAGCACCTTCTGGTGGCGTGATCCTCAGACATGGTAATACTTCGATCGATGGGAAGATTCCTTTTGTATTACCATTTATCTCTGATGAGGTCAGTGCCACTATTAGGAAGTGTCTAAAGAGATCGGGCTTGGAAAATGTGGTTGCTATTGTTAACGTACCACCCCTCAATCTGAAGAAGCGCCTGGTTCGGAACAGGCTGTACGATCGCCTATGTACAACCTCAAACTGTGTGGTTTGTACGGCTGGAAGGGAAGGTGATTGTAACATGTCTGGGGTGGTCTACAAAATTACTTGCCGTGATTGTGGGGAAGAGTATATTGGAGAAACGGCAAGACCACTCCACGTAAGGGTTAAGGAGCACATAGATGGCATGAAGCGATTGAACGAGTCCACTGCCTTAGGGAGTCATCGAATACAAAAGCACAACGGAGGCGTTTTTGAAGTCACCGTGGAGGTCGTGGCACAGGAATCGCAATTATGCGCGCGTAAAACCCTCGAGGCATTTTGGATACAAGTCACTGATCCAAAAATGAATCGTAGGGAAGAATGCCTCGCAATCACGCGGGAGCTGCGGCCTTATATAAAGTTGGCCTTCCCATAGAGACTCTGAATGAAGACCTACCCCAGCTGAGACTGGTCGATTATTACCATCGTCGATTGCTGGTTGGTTTCGAAGAATCCACCAAGCTACGGTGAGTGGTTCTCCTTTAATCACCTGCGTGTACTGGGGGTCTCGAACTTCAGTGTGGCAGTGGAGACGTTTGGTCGGATAGTCATGAATTGTTATGATCTTTCTAGGCTCTGAAGAAGGCGACTCCGCCGAAACGTCAGCCTAATAAAGCTTGTATACAAACCTCGTGAAGAGTTAAAGAAAACAACTCAGTAGTATAACTATTCCATTTCCAGGAGTGGCTCTCTCCGTGGTTAATGCGAGGCACATATCGACGCTATTCGAGAATAGCCTGCATTTTTCTCATCTGGCTGATGTCGAGAGGGAAATATCCTATAGGACTGAAATGGTACGTTTGAGGACATGATTGAACAGTTTGCTTAATCGGTTTCGTTATGTTTCCTTTCCCTGAAATGCGGATGTACACCATCTTAACTATGTTTAACGTTTCCATGAGCCCTATATAAAGCTCAGTTTCCCCCAAGTCCAATAATGTCGCTCATCTAGTTTTCAGTCTTTCCCGGTTAAGCCGTGAATGTGTCAAAGTCCCTGCATTCTCCACTTATTCATCATGATGTCCAATCAACTGAGATTCAGGTTGCTTAATCATATAGTGAGACAGCACTGATCCCAGTTTTCTACCTTGTGCTTTTGCCCATGTGATGTCCATGTGAGTCTGACTCATGGGTAGTCCTCGATGACGTCTCTGTGATGTAGCACTACGAGCAATGGAAACAAAACAAGCGAATCACCCGTGACAGTATGATCCTTTGCATTTAAATAAAAATCCTTCATGCACAAAGATCATATTCAAAAGTGGATAACTCGGGGCCGATTTCTCAGAGTTCATTCGAAACTGCCAACACTTGCTTGAGTTGTGTTTATACTAAGAGTGAGGAATCGCATACTACAATCAGGGCTTGTCCATACATTTTTGAAGAAGTGTGAATTTCCGTGGGATAGCTACAACAGCACTAATGATTGAAAACAGGACGAAGTAGGGCTCTGGACGTAAATTCTGGAGTTTTTATGCCACGTGAGGTGTATTGCTAGTTGGAGACGGGTACGACAGAATAGAATATTGCATTAGGGTGCCTAGGAGTTTTT